GTGGATTCGCACTCGTCCATTTTTCTTCTTTCTTTTCACCATATTGATGTCCTCATGTGTTCTTCTTATGAATAAAGACGATGTATGATATTTATCATTGTGAATAGTGGACTTCAAACGCTTTTCAATATTCTTCGTCTACGTTTGGAATTTGAGTCTCCGTCTAAGAGATAAACTTTGACTTTTCCTTTCATCTGGTTTGACCTCTTCGTCTTAGCTTATCCATCGTCTGATATTTTGATTTTCGACTAGTTTTCCATTAAGCTTCAACTTTGTCTTGTTCTTGACTTAGTCTTGTTTGATGCTTGTTTTGGCCTTTCATCTACTACTTTAAGACTTCGATTGCTAGTACGTTTTGTCTTGTATTTTCGTCTAGCTTTTGTTTGTCATAGTCTTGATGCTTGATCAATTCGTCTGATATTTTGTATAGCTCAACTAGACATGGTATGTGCAAAAATGCATACTCCCATTTTCAGTCTGTTCTTATATTTATCTAAAACACTAACACACATGTTAGAAATAACAATATGCATTATATTTGTCATGTTCAAAACCTTTTTGGAAGTTTCTTCGTCTGACTTAACAAACCTAAAACACCAAGATGATTCATAAGAAAGCATGGCATGATTCAAAACACAAGACAACCAATATAGACCATATGAATATATCTTGACAATGATCTATTTAGAAAAACACAAGACAATATAAAAGGCATTAAACATGACCAAATCATGGAGGAAAGAAATGGCCTAGAGCTTACCATTGAAGAACCTTGGCTCTGAATACCAAAATGATAGAAACTCCAGGCCCTTGATGGATGATATATCAATGGATAAGCCTCATTTTCCAACGAACTTTGATTCTCCAAGCAACACTAGCTCTAAAAGGGGTGAAGTTGACGGATAAACAAGTAATGAAACAAGGTGTTTGTGAAAATGCTTGAGAGGGTGCTCTAGGGTTTTTGGCTCACTCTATTGGTGATGAAGGCCACTCACTAGGGTTCACTCTTCTCAAGGTGGAGATAGGAACAAGATGATAGAATATACCAAAGAGACTAAGGGTATTTATAGACTTTAGGGAAAGAAAATTTTAG